CAGTTCTTAAGGAGCAGGGAGAGGGATAGAGCTGAACCACCTTGCGATTTGATTTTCAAGCTGTCCAGCTCAGTTGTGCGGCAACCCCCTGAGGCCGTGTTCCTCTTTTCATCCCTTTGCTAGGTTGTGAACGCAGGTAAATTATACCACAGGGGAGAAAAAGGAGTCTAAAGTGGAGACAGATTGCAGAGGTAAGGTGCTAAGCGAATAGTTCAAAGGAAGAAAAGCATAGAGAACCAGGAAAATCAGAGGCCTGGGCTTAAGTTCATCCAGAGGGTCAAAGGCCTCCTGGAGAGCTTGTTAGCATCATAGACTCAACAAGCATAAGGCCAATACCTCATTTTGTATAAAAAGACTGTCAGCACAATCAGGGTGCAAATGCTTAATATGTAGCAGTGTTCACTACATGAGGCATCCTGGTTTTACATAATTCAGCTATGGAATTCTTGCATTATGGAAAGATAGTACTATGTTTCAAAGAAGTCATGTATGTCTGAGCTATGTAGCTTCAGAACAAGGCATCCCATGAACTGATCCAGTCTCACTGTCCTAAGTTCCCCTCATGCTGAATGCCTCCCTTGACCTTCAACTTCCTAATCTGGCCCTATCTTTCAGGTCTCAATCCAGGCATTACTGTCTGAACATTCCTGGCCCTATGTGCTCCTTAGTGAAGATAACAGTTGCTAATACAGTATTTCATCTAGGCCAGGTAATGTTCTAATTTAACTGAATGCTCTATCGATTTAACTGTCCCTCACAACAATCCTATCAATATGCTCATTTTACTGATAAAACACTGAGACACAAAGAGATTAAGAAACCTACCAAAACCACATCACTGATAAACTCAATGTTTTTACCCAATACAGACTGGGTCCAGAGTCTGTGCTGTAATCACCAGGCTACACCGCTTCTGTGTGGTTAAGGACATGACCAATCCTATCAACTGCTGTGTACACAATGCTCTGGACTGCCTTGTTCCACATTTGTGTTCAATGGGATGCTGGGATTGGAGATGTATAAAATCTCTCCTAAAGATATCTTTGTTGAAACTTAGTTTTAAAATATACAGCTGTTAGCTAAAGTGTTAGGATTTACCAAGCCTATGGTAAAAGTATCTTAGAGGCTAATGAAAGCCCTTGGCAATTTTAATATTATATGATACTAAATTATACTATAATTACTTCAAAGGTCAAGAATCTTAAACATTTAGTCTTAAAATTCTCCACCTGGGTGATGCAATCAGAAAATTTAAGTATGTATGAAAATATTTAATTATACAAAACAAATTGAAGTCTACTAATTTAAAAACCTTTAAATAAAATGTACAATGTTTTCCCACATGGGTTGTTCCCTCCTCTATTGCATAAAAGGAACTTTTTAAAGAAAATGTGTGCTTACAGTCATTAAAAAATATTTTCCAGTGCTAGTTTTAGGGAAAAGTAGGATAAAATGGTTTGGAATAAAACATTTCATCATTACTGAATGGTGGGAAACTCTAAGAAGCGATGGTGCTGGGCACTACTCGGGGAGGGGGGTGGTGGCAGGGGGAGAGGTCCAAATGTGCTGCTGGGGTGTCAAAGTAACACAGTGTTTTGCACTGACCATGAAGCCAGGTGTCTGAGTTTGAAACTCCTTTTATGTACCAATTGACTCTGGATTCACTTAAATTTTCTGTGCCTCCATTCATTTATAATTAGATGGTTAAGTACATCCATGTAAGCAAAGCAATAAAACATTACTGACTATATAGAATGACTCTCCCTCCATTATCAACCACATGAATCATCATAGCTCGAAGGGAGTCAGCCAGAGCACAGACTATTGTCTATTTGCATTCAGCCCCTTGGTCACCCACAGTTACAGACATATTAAAAGATGTCAGTCTGACTCAATTTTTGTGGCCAGGCCTTACCCCTGGTACGAGCAACAAGTGCACACCTTAGCGCTGACTTCCAAACTTCCTGAGCAAACTCCTCTTAGTGCACTTAATGAAATGCTATGAAACAATCTCAACCAGAAAAATGTCCTTCTAGTTGCCAATACCTAAGTACAATACAGAAGTCATAATAACCACAGGCACCATTGTTAATCTGGGCACGGTTAGATCTTTTTGAGATTTTCAGTGAATAGCAGTTTGCAAATTATTTGCTCATTGTTATGTAAGAAAAGGCATAGTCATTTAAGATTTAAGAAAACTATGAAACAAAAGAAAAACAAAGGCAAGCCTATTTATATCCCCCTTTGTTTTTGTCTTTTTTTAAAAAAAAAAATAATTTCCGTCTGCTCAGCAGGTTTTAGGTTTCATCTCCACTAAGGATCACATACTCTGTAGTGCGAGAGACCTGTTCTGAGAATGAAGCAGCTCTACGGTGAAGACAGACACAGAATCTTGGAACCAAACCTGACGCTCAAGATTTATGATCCAAAGAATTTTATAGAAAAAGTAGTCCCAGGAAACCCAACTGGCCCAGCCCACAGCAGAGCTGAAAGCCTTTCCTTTAAATGTGCCATCTACTGCTTGTGGGCTCAACGACAGCCCACGACAGCACATCACCAGAGAATACACTTAACATCAAAAGAAGAAACAAAATCTAGGGGCACAACCCGACAAAGCTGTAAGAAAAAGTATGACGACATCTAACTTTGAGGACATAAACTAGGACAACGGAATTTTCATCTCGAGTCAAGCATTCACAATAAAAGAAACCTACCGTTGGCTCATTGGTTTTATAGCTTACCAGTAAAGTTCTGGCCAGGACACTGTGCAACACAGTCATCTTACTGGAATGGACTTTGTGATAAGAGACTTGCCAGGCACTTTCCTTGTCCATATCTTTGTGGTCAGACATACACACTTGAATTATGTGTGAGAAAGGGGGAGACTAAGAACAGAACTATATTTGCGTAACTGATTTCCCTCTGCTTGTGTTACTTAAGTTGCATCTTCCATTAGAAATAAATTCAAACACGGTATTAAAAATAAAGAATGAAAGTTTCAGCATTTTTGTAAGGTATTTCAAGTTGGATTGATATGCAAATGTTACCATTCCTTAAAATAAGTAAATCTCAGAACGAAAATATGAAGTTGGGGTATAACAGGCACATTCAAATTTATAAAACAAGTAGATTTCAATAGAAATGAAGATCCTCTAAAGAAAATTGCATTGCCTTCCCAACTCCTTGGAGAGCCAGTTTAGTTAACTGCCTACCTATGCTTCAGAGATGACCACGCAGCTTACATGTCAAACTCATTTTAAAGTGTCAATCATGTCCCTTTCAATCTAATTAGTTTGGAAAGTAGTGTCACTGACCTGGAACTATACAGACCATTTATTATCATATTATTTGATCAACTTAACACTTCTCCTCAGTTCAGTTTGAGACACCTGTAGCCAAAACGTAATATCCTTTCCCCCCACTCATTGCTGGTAACTCTCAATACAATTTCCTATTTACAACTCAATTTATCTCTATGAATAAGCATGACCAGAATCACCCACAGAATTCCATGGCTACCTTTCTATCTATAATGAGAGGTGATTTTTTGATGCCCAAGGAGAACAGGGGAACGTGGCTTTGTGGATATGATGCAGTGAACAGGACAGGTCTCTCTGCCCCATCACATAAGCATTCCTATCTGTTGCATTTCACAAGTTTGTCTTGCATTCTAAGGAAAAGGAAGGACATCCCCTGGTGGCATAGGTGGTTGAACATAGCGCTGTGAAGCTGTCCACAGCCTCTGCAGCGCCAGTTTGATCCTGGCCGGCTGGCAAGAATCCCACATGGCACGGCAGACCTCTCCTGTCTCGCCCGCTGCTCCCCTCAGCAGTGTATTTCAGTCAGTCTGCCTGTTCTGGTCCCTGCTCTGTCTCTGGTGAATCCTCTCACTCTTCCGCACATCTGGCCTGTACCCCAGTTCTTGTATGCATGAATAAATATATCTTAAAAAAAAAGGAAGGCCATCCCTAAGAGGATAATAAGGAAGTTAAACATCAGGTGTTCACAAAGCAAGCTGGCGCCCACCCGAAATCTCCACATGCCTGCATCAAAGGACAAGCTGACTCTCACCCATCTCCCTTTTGTTTCACTCCTTTATATAAATAACCCTGCACTCAGCCAGAGTGTAGGACGGTGGTCTTTCAGACATAGTCTGCTGCCCTCCTCAGTTTATCTACAAATTAAACTACTCACCTTCTTCTCAAACTGTTTCCTTTTATTGGCTAAGGGAAACTGAGGCTGGCATTCAGGATCAGGGACGCTGGGAGCAATTTAGGACCTTACAGATGGAGGAAACTTCTTTTTGTAAGATATATATAATACAGTAAGCCATTTTTATAAAAGAAATCTTTAGATTATAACCCCATTTTCATCAGATGGGCTTATACTATAAAAACAAACTTTTCCAGGTCCATCGTATTTAACCTGACTTTAACTTAAGTTACGCCTCATCCTGACCCTGGTTAAGAAATAACTCACTCCTGAGAGTCAAAGAGCCAAGTGACCCCAAGGAGGCGCTAAAGGCCAGACCACAGTAGAGGTGAGGTGGGAGGTAGGAAGGGTAGCCAGATGTACCAGTCAGTGAAGCAGCAGATCACCTGGCCCACCTCTAGCAAGAGCATGAGAATCACCAAATCTTTCTATTGGGTTAGTTTTGCATATTTGAGAACTGTTTTTGCAAGACCAAAATACAAGCAGGCAATCTTATCCCTGAACCACAGAATAACATATTGAACAGAAAAAATACTCAAAAAGCCGTAGGCCACCAAAATATTGTAGTGACTATACATTCATTTTAGAAGGCAATATTCTAAGGCAGGATATCAGCTACCAAAGTTTCCTTTCCTAGTTTGTTTTCCTTTGGAGAAGTTACACTTTACCACAAATGCCTGTTTGTCTGAAGGATAAGCAAGAGTCTGCATTTATGTTTGCTCTATCAAATAATAGTGAATATAATTTTACATCTGGTCAAATAAAATATGCATATAGCTCAAACTTACCTTCAGGTGAAGAACCTGTCTTTTGGGAAAAGACAGCATTTACTTTACTCTTCTTACTGATATTGCTGTTTACAGACAAGCTGGATTGAATTTTTCGATGCATTTTTTGAGAAACAGGTGCTGAAAATTTTCGGTTATCTGCAGAGGCATGTTTGGCCCCATGGTGAATTCCATTTCCATTGCTCAGACTTGGGTGGCCATTCTTTATCTTGCCTATTTCCTCCTCACTAGCTTCCTGTGCTGAAGTCTGCAGCTGAGGCAAGCGCTGAGGCTGGGCTAGGTTAAAAAAAAAACAGGAAAAGTTTATCCCGCTAAGAAAAAGATAATACTATTTGAAGATAATCAAAACACATTCAGTAATGGACTTTTGGGATTTTACCCATGAAACTGAAAATGAAGAGGAAAAGAAAACAAAAGGAAAGTACTAATAAACATGAGCACAGATCAGGTACAATTACTAAAAGAAAAAATGGAATCGGGATTATCAAAGGTGACTTTACACGAAAGATAGCGAAAGAAAAGTAAAAAAAAAAAAATGTCTGGTTTGGGAGCTTTTTTAAAATTAAAATTTAAGTGAGTAATCTGAAAAAGTAACTGAACACTTCTTCAGCAAATGTTGTTTTCCATGCGCCAGGTCCTTTGGATGCAACAGACACAGCAGCACTAGCTCAATAGTCCTGAGAAAGATAAAGTACTTGATTATCTTTTGAATTAGAAGGAAAAGGACAATGAATTCAGGATTCAAATCTGGACAATATAGAAATATAGTTTTCTTTTATTTTAAATTCTGGAAACCAAATCATTTCCATTTTTATTCTTAATTCTTATTTTAAAATAAACTGTATGAAACATTATACCAAAGGTCCTAATAAAAGCAATAAAGAAAGAGAAGTAACAGGTCTGAATATTAGAAGGAAAAAAAAATTTGAGTGTATAATGATTTGAAAGTTCTAGGTGACATCTAAGACTATAATTCGGAAAAATTAAGAATTTAGCCAGATTACCACAGGATCAGCCATACTAAAAATCAACAAAGTTCCAAATGCTAAATTAGTAACCACTTAGTAAACATATAAGAAAAAAATAACTTTGAAATAACAAAGGGGAATGAAGAAAGGGGCTGAAAGGCAACAAACAACAAAAATCCTTTAAGTCTGCAGAAATTAAACAAGGAAAAAAATGGAGCTATTTCCTGGTAAAAATTTCTAAAAGACATAAAACCTTACTAAATGCAGAGTATAAATATGCTAGTCCTGATAACGTTGTATTTCCCCCAACTTATCTGAATAGTACAATCCCCATGAAATTTTCACCAGGCTTGTTTATGGCTCTTGACAAGCTCAAGAAAATCTGTAAGGAACTATAATCAAGACTCACCCAGCAAAGTTTTAGGGGAAAGAGTTGTGGGACTTGACTTACTAAAGTCTTATTAAACACTACAGTGACTAAAGCAGTGCCATGCCAGTTCACGTGCAGACATAGAAACCAATGGATTAGCAGAGTTCCAACATGTATTTGTAGGTACATGGATGAGCATGCAAGTACACTCCAGCTGTATTAAATGCCTATATGTGAAGACCAAAATGTTAGTGTATAAGAAAAATACAAAAGCCTCTTAACAGCATGATGCTAAAGAAGGACAAACTGACTTGATTCTTTGGATAACAAATCATGAAACAAACAGGGTAACGATTCATCATAAATGCTGCCCAGCATTTCTGATCACCCTCACTGATTCTGGTTAGTCCTCTACCACGTCCCCGGACGACTCAGTATCTCGTGGGCACGTACGTGACCTAAGTTCTACCAAGCAGAAGCATGACCTGCATTCGGAAGTGACAATGCAGGGGGTAGGGAGACCAAGGAGGAGGGGAGCCTCCGGCCACAAACATTGAAGAAGCCATTTACTGGTGTTAGTGGGCCAATGGTACAGGGGTGATTTTTTTTTTTTTTTTTTTAAATTAGAGAAGCCCCACTGAATGAACAGGCATGATTCTTGGCTGTGCAGCTCTTAGGAGAATTTGTGTTCTGCTAATAAATTTATTTTTTACTTAAATTAGTCAAAATAGATTCTGGTTTTTTGTGGCTAAGAGCCCAGATTTCACCTTAAAAGTTATCTGTTTACACTGGTTAAAGTATGGCATTATTATTAAAGTCAACATTTACCTTGATTGTGTAGTTTCTACATAAAGTTATCAATTATGGTATTTCAAGCAAATACAATGACAAAAACCATTGTCTACATTTTACTATTTTATAATTACCTAGAACATTAAAATCTAAAATTACTGTTTTGTCTTTTTTCTATTTATGATTATAATAGCTTTGAAATGTAAATTAAATCTGCATACTAAAAACTTCCCAACTTAGAAAAAATATTACATATAAAGAAATGACAGTTTTACATGGCATTGATTAAAAGGGGCTAAAAGGGACTGATTATCTGTTATCTGGGGACTAGTTAAGACTTAGAACCTTTCTTTTTCAAAAATATACACTATTTCAGTCTTTAGCATACATTTTTTACTTACATTGTTGTTGGCATATCGTACGTTTCGTAAGAAGTCTTAGCGTTAAAATAGTCTATCCATAAGTGTATATATTTCAAGAAAAAAAGATTCATTTAACAAAAATATGCTTTCATAACAAATCCATTAGCATTAATGCCTAATTTATAAAATATAGGAAATTTTACCATTTTCCATTCTTTAGTTGTAAAGAAGTCTAAAAATTAAGAATCTGAGAATACCACAGGGTAGTAGTTGCAAAACGTATCACAATGCTTTGGTTTTCTCCTAACTAGTGATAAGAAAAGGTTACTTCTCTACTTAGCAGTTATATAACTAAAATCCACAATCAAGGCATCTGCAAGAGAAGATCTAGTTCTTATGGACGTGCGATCATTTGATCTGGAGATTAATTTGCTGCACCTGTAACTTCTTGTATCAGCTAGAATGACATCCTAATGACTGCTATTGAACATAAAGCTAGTTATGCATATGTCTTTAAAGGGATGCCAAATAAGACAGTTCAACCTAATTTGGTGCTCTTTTCAGAGCACTTTCCTGTAATCTCTCCAAATAAATGGAATGCCTGGGCTACTTTTTCTCTGAAAAGAATAATTCACGCAATCTGAGAGTTTCGTTACATCGTCATGTCATTGACCAATGCTAGGAGACTTCTTACCAATCAAATTGTGCTGTCATATTCCACAATCCAAAGTAAATTTGGATTACCATGTAACAAACAGTCTCAATAAACACAAAGTGATAAGAGCAGTATCTTGCCACAGAATTCTAAAATTGACCTGACCTTTTTTTCTACTATCAAAATTGACTATTTGCAAATTACTGCGTATAGATGGAGTGATATTCAAACATATCCTTACTGTTTTACCTACATTTCAAACTTCAAAATGATTTCTATTTCTGGTGGAAGATAATAATACATTCTTTTTTGTTTCACGACCACCTAATTTTTACTGTATACAGATTATATTTATGGCCAAGTAGACAAATATTTTCTCTTCACTCCACTTTTCTGATATTAAAACAGTTTCTTAATTTTATGAGTTTGTCAGTTGCATGTAGTATATAGGTCAACTCCAAACTGAATAAGCCTTAGATTAGTTACCTTAACAGCCATTTATTTTAACCTTATCAATATTTATGGGTATGACTTGTATCTTATGGTAAAATTATAACTAAACCCAAGTCAGAATCTTGATTTTATTCTTAAAGAACAAAACTGACTGATTAAATCCTAAGTACGTGGCTTTCAACAGACTTCCTTATTGTGTAAAAGTTGTGTATGGCTTTAAAAAAAAAAAAAAGCACACTCGTATGGGAACGACACAATGCTTCTTAAAACACAAGTGATGCCTAGGGACCCTCACTCTCCCTTTAATGATCCACTGCTCTCATTCAGCTGTCTTTCTTTTTTCAAATCTTTACATATGTGACAGCTCTCAAAAGTAGACCATAGACCATCTGGCATTTTCAGAGGTGTAACTTGTGCAAATTCAGCTCTATTGGGAGCGCACTGCTATCTTCTGCCTGCGTTATAAAGGGACAATAGACTGTAGAACTTATGAGTTGTTTTGAATTATTCATTTTTTTGCCTGTATATTCAAGAAATTTTACAAACTCTGCATTTTGTACTACATAATCACATGCGTTAAAGGTACAAAGAAACTTTTTGACACCTCTTTTCTACAGAAAGCTGGCATTTTATTTGATATGTGAGCGTTCAGCAACTGTTATATCATTCTAAACAGGATGGGTGCTTCTACAAAAGACCCCATTTTAAACTTATTCTATCTGAGCAAAAAAAAAGGTATTCTTGATATTCAGTAACAAATGAAATACACATCAAAATTTCAAATACCAGTATATGAACATTCAGCATCTTCAAACCTGGATAGCACTGGACACCCGCTTACCATATGTGTGAAGATGTTTTAAAAATAATCATTGCTTGCACAATGCAGCATGATTGTAATTCAAATACCAGGATGAATAGCTACAAATGTCTTAAGAAATACTGTGCTTTCTAGGTTCAAATGTTTTCAATCAGGAAGGAAACCAACCGAATTAGATCTAGTGATTTCCAATAAGAATAACAAATATGGCAGTAATGAATCAACAGCATGAGCTTCTTTTCATTTTTTTTTTTTTTAAACTGGGTGATATTGTAGCTGGTAGTAACTATACTTGAAACTGCAGCTGCTAGAGTTGCAATATAATGCAACGTTTTGCTACAGCATATAATCTATTAGCATGTGCAAATCATATTCAATCCCTGGTCTCTACACAAGTCAGATTTAATAAAATTTCAAAAGAATTCTCATGCCATTTAGTCAATTTAAATGGTTGTTGTACATATATATATAATCAAAGTTAAATGACTTGGATTTAAAATTGCTAGTAACAAAATGATCAAAATAGAATATGGAGGAGGGAAAATGACTTGGTAGAAACCTAAATTACACTTCCAGGGATAGTTACAAAGCTTTTGTTGGGTATTGTGCTGTGCCATAGTCACTATGGGACAAACATACTGGAACACTGCAGTGGTGGATAATTTATATTGATGTAGAGAGAATTTATGTATTTATATAGCTGACAAATTAGTTTTATTTTACATGAAATATGCATCTGAATACTAAAAGCTTTAAAAGTCACTTTAACATGTTCAAACTATACTACTTTACTGTTCTAACATAAATTCTGGCTAAAATAAATATTCCAATGGCCAGCTCTGCCCACCAGCTTGAT